GTAAGATGAATAGCCTCGTTTCAATAAATATATGGTGGAGTTTTGCTCCGATATCGTTATAAAAATATGTGCGTTTGTGTAGGCCGAAAAGGAATGTGAATGAATAGGACACATATTAAAGGTGAATAAAATAATGTGAATGCGTGCAGACAGCCATATTAGACTATCTCAGGCGGGTGCTATTCACGGTGCACATTACAATCCTCTTTTGAAAGACGCCGTTTTGAGAAATAAAAAACAAACTTCATATTCCCATTCATCTTTTATATGCATTGTCCCTATTAAGACGTTGGTACTGTGTACCGTGTAGCTTACTCTTTTTGAGTAGTCTACTTATCATCTCTCAGTTTCGTCTCTGTCTTTAGACAGAGTGCTCTCAGGGGGTTCTTTGTCAAAAGGCAGATAGGCAACTGAGGCAAATAACACTGAAGCTGCCCGAAGCCGCATCCTCCCATTGCACCATAGGAAGGGATCGGTGCTCGCACCGAGGCCAGCGCAACCGACAGTTGCAGGGGCTGAGGGGAATTTTGGTTCCTCTCCCGGGCGTACGCTCTCGGGTCCCCACCTAAAAATAGACCTTGTGTCACATCTCGTCCTAGTGTGTTTGTGGGGAGGGGGGCAGAGTAAATGCCCCATTAAGACGTTGGTATTTACCATGATTTCCTGTCCTCTGTAGCTGTTAATAAATGTTGCCTTTTTGTTATCAATCCTCAACCTTATTCCACCATTTATTTAAATTAAACTCGCTAGGTAGTTTATTTGTACATTATGTCTATCTCACCTGCCTTCAATATGTCCTGTGAGTATCAAATTTTCTCAGCAGGCTTTCCTCACTATGTGCCTTAGAAATGTCTTTCCCTGATGTTAATTATAAGTGTCATTTTTTTTTGTATCTGTCTATATTTCTGAGATGAGGTATTATGTACATTATTTGGACTATTGTCCTCATCTTTGTCGCCTTATTTATTACAACGTCTCGGCCGTTGTACGCTCCAGCCTTCTTCAGGTGGTTGGAATGTCGAACTGAACCCTTTATTTCGCTTAATGTAAATAATGTCATTTTTTTTCTATTTTCTCTAAAATTCCGTCGTTGCTAGCAAGTTCGATTGATGGTATTCTCAGAATCCGTTCTATATAGAACACCATTTCTAGTTTCACCATCTTTGTGTAGTGATTGTTCAGCATTCACTGCCATACAAGAAGAGTGATATAACATAAAATTTCAGTGCTCTCTATTTTATCGATTTTGTTTTTTTTGCTTAGGTTTTAAGATTTACTAAGTAAATATTTTCACACAATGGCGGTATTCACGAAACGTATCCTGATCTGTGTAATGGTCAAATAAAAAAGTCAAGTAAAAGGGCCTTGTATTAGATTTCTCGGTTCTCGAGACAATCAAGGAATAGGTATTGATCTCAAACACTAATTAAAATACATTGTGGCAATATATTCGATGAGCTGAGCAAACTATAAGGCAAGATCAATATAGGACAAAATAGAAATCAGGAGGATTGCCTTGCGTCAAAATTTCAAACAAAGTGAATCATTTCAAGTTGAAAATCAGTAAAGACTTTGTTTCAACTAAGGCTCAAATCACGAAAGACTTGTCTTAATATGTTTGTATAATGGAGGGTGTTGTTGATGATAGGGCTTGACAGCTAGAGAAATTGATGCAAGACCGCAATGTAATATTGTCTTCCAGTAGAAATTTCTTTCTTTCTATGCCTTAATATGTTGATCAGTTCGGAACAGAATCATTCTCAATTCCGAAGTGTCTTTGAATTTTAATGTTACATTTTCCTGTGTGTTACAGATATCACATTTGGGCACCTCGAGGCGGTGTAATGATTAGTAAGCTTGTCTCGCTAGAACAATTACGACTGAGTAGTGAGCTTGATTCTCACTGGGTGCTCCAAACTTTCGGCCTTGTACTACATCTAAGCTACGCTTAGAAAATCTCTACAGATATCACATTTTGGACGAACCATATTACCGACGACCGTGTATGTATCATCTTACACTTAATAATTTTTTTTTCTTTTCGATTTTATCGATTACCTTATCAAATAGTTCTTCCAGGCTTCCTTATGAATCTTCCTTCATTACAGCATCGTCTGTCGAAGTTGCGCTGTAATATTTACACACGCCGATAACACATACTAGTCAATCTTTTCGTCTTTGTTGGATCCTCTCACTATATAAGTTAAATAAATCAGATGTAAAGAAAAGAAAAACTTTCTTGTCTAACATGTTTTTATTTGTGTATATTAACACGTTCTCTATCCGTATAAAAACTGTTTGTTGCCAATACAGGTTTTTTTTTTTTTTTTTTTTGCTATGCAGATCAAGTTTCTCTAATATTTCCATGAATTTTCCTAACATTTTAATGAGATTTTTTTCTTTCATAACATATCGAAATCTTTTGTTTAAACTCTTAAAAATATAAACCTGCCTCTATTTCTATTGCTCAAGATCTGATGATGAAAATTGCATTTCTTGTTTCAGTGCCTAGAGCAAATCTACGATGTTCATATCCTATTTCTTGTAAAATCCTGCTATGTTCTTTATTTATCAGAAACCTTATTAGTTATTACAAATAATCAAGTTAATTATTCGTTGGAGCTCGCATTCATCTCCATAACCATGTGGAATTAAATCCACTTATTTACTTTCCTGAAACCGGTATTGGAGGAAGCTAAACTTTAAATATAAATACTCTACGATATTTTTTCTCGCTCTCTTCTTACCCTTTCCGCTTACACGTCAACATGTAAGTCTCTCGTGGAAATACGCGCTTCCCATTGGGAAACGTAGGAACACACCAACACAGATACACACACGTACGCATTTTCACTCACTTCACATCCTTTGAGCTTTAAATATTGTCTCTGTTACTTGTATACCTTTCTTGCTAATATATTATCATTTGTTTGTACATACAGGGTTTGGACAAAATAATTGCAACAGTTGCAAAATCCACTCCTATATTTCAAAGAGCTATTACATTAAGAACTTTAACTAAAACTTCGTAATTGCAGGTTATATCTATTGTAAATATGTTTATTTATCTAATTTACTGTCCTTGTCCTATATATTTTTAGAATTTAGTAAAATTTAAGCTAAATGCGTGACCTCTCCTAGTTCGAAAAAGAGCAAATTGTTGGAGCTCGCATGGCAGGAGCCTCGATCCCTAAGATTGCTGAACTGTTTGTTTTTTCAAGATCTATCATATCAAGAACACTGATGCAATTCGAGAAACAGGGCAAGACCTCTAGCAACCGTAGCAATTCGGGCCGGACTTGTAAACTTACTGACAGGAACTGACGTGCATTGAAACGCAATATGGTAAAAAAATCATCGGACAAATACGGCCAAAGTGACTGCTGAGTTGAATAACCATCTGAATAGTTCAGTTTCTACTAAAACTTTTCACCGTGAGCTTCATAAGGCTGCATATCATCTCTCCACTCGAAACATTCAAAAGTGGTTGAAGTGGTGCAGAGATTACAATGCCTGGTCTGCAATGGAAGCAAGTCATATTCTCAAACAAGTCAAGTTTTTCTCTTTTCCCAACTTCAGGGCGAGTTTATGTGTGGAGGCAGCCCAAAGAAGCTTACAACCCTGACTGCCTTCTTCCAACAGTGAAGCATGGAAGTGGATCAGTGTTAGTTTGGGCCGCCATATCATGGAAATGCCTCAGTCCAATAGTTGCCTTGCATAGTAGAATCAACAGTAAAGATTACCTGAACATTTTGGAAGATCATGTTCATCCAATGGTCAAGACTTTATTCACTGATGGTGACTGCATCTTCCAAGACGATAATGCTCCAATACATACCGCTTGAGTGGTTAAGAATTGGTACGGAGAGCATGACAGTGAGGTAGAACACATGGAGTGGCCTCCCCAATCTCAAGATATCAATATTATTGACCATTTGTGGTGCATTTTGGAGCAACAATTTAGGAGCCGCTATCCTCCACCGTCGTGTCGTAAAGAGCTGGAGAAGGTTTTAATGGAAGAATGACTGAAAATTCCTCTGGATGTAGTCAGAAAGCTGTATGATTCCATTCCTAGACGTATTAAAGCTGTCTGTGAGGTGTAAGGAAGACCAACTCCATATTAAATAAATTTTCTTTGAATTTAACAATTGTTCCAATTATTTTTCCAAACCCTGTATATTCGTTCTTGTTACGTTTTTTTTGTATTTTATCATGGTGGACACACATGCAAGTACTCCATTTTTATCGTGGCTATTCCAGGAGACACGTTTTTTTCCCAACTCAACCCCGCGACGTATATAACAATCTAAACCCCCTATGAAACCCCTATAGCTCTTCTAGTATTGTAATAGAATAACAATAACAGTGTAAATTATTGCGGTTCCATCGGCGACAATTCTCAGTTTAATTTGGTCGCAAATTATCGGCGTAATTGATTCGTACAATTCATCAGTGCATGTAATAGAAGCAGGCAATTTAATCTTAGAATGTTTCGATCACTGAATATCATTAACTTTCTTATCAGGAAATTGCAATCTGTGATTAGGGGTAAAGAGGAACGGAATTAGCAAATTATACAATCAACGTCCTTGCCTTGAACAACGTTTGCTTGGGCAAATGAAACTCGTTGTTAAAGCATTTCCTTCTCCCCAGTAACCGCCCTCCACAGGCAAAAAAAAAAAAAATGCATCATCAACAACGGAAAAAAAACTCTCGCTAACAGTCAACAACAACAGTTCGATGAAACAAAAAATAATTAGCGAGAAATGTAGATCAAAGGACGAGAAAATGCATGCCAATACAGAGAAGTTCACTCTTTTTGTTACTATTATGTACCCAATACAAGCCTCAAGTGCCACTCAAGGTAGAGCGTTAATAAATGGAGATGTAGTAACGATATATAAGGAGGTAATAAAGGTTATATATTATTTGGGCAACGTTTGACCAACGGCTTTAAGACGTTAAGCATTCCATCGGGAATCTGTTCCACATTGCAATATTACGGCCTTATCAGGTAGAAACACTGGTTCTTGGCCGATCTCAGAAGTTAAGCAACGTCGTACCTGGCCAGTATATAGATGGGTGAACGCTTGGGAATACCAGGTGATGTAAGTTTGGTGGTGCGACTAGTGTAATGGGTAATGGTTCGAAACTTTTAATCGGAGAGTCAAGTTCCAATTCCAGTCGGGTTCGTTATATTTACTTACCCGCCAATACCCTTTGAGAAAGGTATGAATCCATCATTTCTCCCCCTGAAATGGGTTAATTAGTAGGAACTGTATCAGTAAATCATTGTTATCTTCAAATCATTATTACAGTTTAAAAATATATTCTGGCTTTAAATAAGCTGTAAAATGGTTGTAATCCCTTTAAAAATAAATAAAAAACAATCAATAACATTGCAACTGTTCTGGGAAATAAACTGTTTGAACTGAACTTACTCCTTATTAATGGAATATGAAGTGAATAAGGACGAGTCGATTCAGTCTCAAATAGATGCGAACATCCACCTGAAAATTAGCTTAATAACCCACACCATTAAATTTATCATTAGGATTCTAATGATTGGAGATTGTAGAGATTACAGGGAGAAAATGGATCTAGAGAATCAAGACACTGGAGCAAGTAATGCAATCTTTATTAGCTGAATGCTATCACAGCGAACAGTAAGAACGCCGAAAGACCAACACCAATGTTTTATACATTAGAAACAAAATTTTGATAAGCTAACTAAATGAAATACCAGAAAATTCTAATTTACAAAGGAAAAATATTCGAGTAATCGGGAGACTCTGTTGGGAACAAAATAGCGCGCACACGGATAGAGAATGAATTCACAAAAATAGAAAGTGATGTATGACAAAGTTACGTTTTGCCACAGGATTCATTCAACATATATAACGAGAAAATACTTATTGAACAAGAAGACTTACCAGGTTTGGTTTGATTTGTTTTGTTTTACGGTATATCAAAATCAATGGGTTATTTAATGCTGACAAAACCTTTTATTGCTGGTAATATTCTTTTATCTATCTATCTATCTATCTATCTATCTATCTATCTATCTATCTATCTATCTCAGTATATATTGGTTTGATTTGGTTTGTTTTACGGCATTGGTCCTTTGAAGGTACAAAGCCAAGCTGAAAATCTTATAGGCTGACTTGAAGGAATGACCCTAGAGCTGTAAAATCTTGCATGTATTAGTTTCAAATATTATTAATAACTGCATTGTTTCTTTCCCGGTAAACTAATATCTGATATCCCAAAAAAGATATCAGAACTAACTGACTTCTCTTGAAAATTGACAAAATTTGGTATCGTGTGTTAGCATGTACCTACAAAGATGGTTTAGTTCCCAAGAACATTTATACTAACATGGTTGTTACATTAGGGGTTGATACTCTAGCTTTATCAACAGTACAAAAATGAGCAGCTGAATTTAAGAGAGAAACGAAAAGACTAGAAGATAACCCAATGTTTGGACATCCTGAAACTGACACCATCTCGGCAAGCATTGACCATGTTAACCGCTTACTGATAGGCTACAGGCGATTGGCTAATGATATTAGCATATCCTGTGAAAGATTTGGGAATATTCTGCATAATGAACTGAGCATTAAGAAGGTTTCTACTCGCTGGGTGCTGCGTCTACTGACACCTGATCAAAAATGCACAAGGCTGATCACATCACGGTGAAATCTGATATTGTTTGAAGTATATCTAGCTGGTTTCCTTGAACGTTTTCTAAACCAGGATAAGTGATGGGTTTATTACCTTGAGTCATATAAAGATACAATCCATGCAGTGGAAACACCGCTCCTCGCCTGCTCCAAAGAAGCCCAAGGTCGTTTCATCTGCAAGGAAGGTGATGGCCTCAGTTTTTTTTTTAGATGCAAAAGGCATTGTGTATAATGACTATATTTTAAAAGGGCCACACCATCAATGGAGAGTACTATGCCAACTTATTGAGGAAGTTACCAAATGCTATCAAAACCGAATTCACAGGAAAACTAATAAAAGGGGTTTTGTTTCATCAGGACAATTCTCCTCTATACAAGTCCTTCGTTTCAATGGCTGCTGTGTGTGACTATGCTTTTAACTGGTTGATTACCCTCCCTATTCTCCTGATATCATCTCTTCCCCAAAATGAAAAAAAAAAACGCACTTGGCTGGGACTCAGTATCGCAGTGGTAATGACTTCTTCGAACAGTCGGATGTCAGGATAACTGGAAAGAAACAATTTAGTTATTAATAATAAGAGTTGAAATGAATGTCTTCAAGATTTAAAAGCATTAGTGTCAATCGTTCATAGTCATCCTATGAACTTTTTAGCCCACCCTCGTACTTGGAAATAGCGAAAATATCTTCCAGAAACTGTAAGGAAATATCGCTAGGAAGGAAAAAAAAACAATATTGGACTGCCATGTAATATTTAATCTCTTATATGTCGCTGAATGCTGAACAATTTTCCCAGGTATGAAGAGACTTGAACCGACAAAGATGTGGTTTTAACGACGAATACTAAGAACACTATGGACGAAAAATGTGATCAAGGGTGAAGTTTTTAGAAGAGATACTGCAAGTGAGCTGATTCTAACAACCAAGAACTGGAATTTTTGTGACACATAATCAAGAAAGAGGGTCTAGATAATTTAACAGTCATAGGATATTTAACAGCCCATACCGTATTATCGAGAAGTAACCTTCTTGCTAAATTATTTAGAGGTTAGAGTAAAGGTAAAAATAAACCCTGACGTTCAAGCCACTCTACCACACGCATAATTAATATTTTTTACATATATATGTAAAGTAAGGCCGGTAAATGTTGTTAATACTGCTTATTATAAACAGGGCATTTACTTAAATATTTGTGTCTATATAAATTACGTATAACATTAAAATATTTTAAAATAATTTTCGGACTTTGTCCATTTCGTAGTGTGTGACGTCATTTGTTTACGTTTAGATAATCTTTGAGAAGATATGATCGTTCCTGTTTCCCTTTATATAATAATTTATTCTCAGTTACGTCAATACCCAGAGGCGACAATCGGTTTCACGCAGTTAATACAAATTTGTCATTTAAGTGATTAGTGTTACCTTGAGCATCCTGACTATAGAGTTTCTTAGACGGACTCCCCTCCAGCGATTACTCCATTCACTCGTCATGATTTATAACCAATATATATATATATATATATATATATATATATTACAGTGAATCATTCATGCAAAAAGTAGATTAGTAAAGTTAATGATATAAAATGGCGAAATCCTTTCGCAAACAAAATTTTAAAGTTGCATTAACCTACGAATTAATATGCAGGTACTTTCAACTGTACATTCAAAAATTATTTAAAAAAAACCTTATATAGCTTGTAGTTATTAAAAACAAGGATCATAACATTCATCGAGTGATTTGTAGGCTAATGCAACTTTAAAATTTTGTTTGCGAAAGGATTTCGCCATTTTATATCATTAACTTTACTAATCTACTTTTTATGAATGATTCATTGTAATATAAATTGAACTCCACCACATATTTGATATATATATATATATATATATATATATATATATATATATATATATATATATATATTCATACACGTTTTCATTAAATAGTATTGATTTTGTTTAGGTTGGGTTTCAACAGTTGAAACTCCACCTAAACAAAATCAATTATGGCATCTTTACAAATATTCTTAAATGTCTATAATTGGTAACAGAAGCCATTGGCTTTCCATACTTCATACTTCTCCAATTCACTCTCGTGTGGTCGTGTGTGACGTCATGAGATGCGGTGGTGCGATTTTCGCTTCTAGCGTCTTATATGCACGTGTTTATCGTTGCTTAGAAATCATCTATATAAACAATGACAGACTATCATCATTGTCTTGTCCGTATATTGCTTAATACGTTGTAATTGACATCTTTGATAATGGCTTATGGAAGCCGAAAGCTGAGATTGTATAAAATAAAAAAAATATGGATCAATATTGTGAATTTCTTTCTTCGTTCAACGATAATGTTATTAAACATAGACGTTACGAAACAAAATTACATAAAATAAATAGACAACACTTGTCTATATTATTTAATGAAACGTGTATGAATGAAAAGATGCTGCCTATATATATATATATATATATATATATATATATATATATATATATATATATATATATAAAGATATTTTTGTAAGTACAAAATTTAATGATCGAAATAAAAGTGTAAAATTTAATATTACAAGACATATTAAAACAATGTTAAATAAAAAAAAAACACTCAACAACAAGGGGGAAGCAATTGGTTTCGCCCCGCTCATCAGGCTTCCACGGAGATTCAAAATTAAAACAGAGAAGGTACAATCAGAATAGGTGGAAAAAAAAAAAAACTTATATGTACATATATATATCTGTATATATGCAAGATATTTCGATATATATATATATATATATATATATATATATATATATATATATATATATATATATATATATATATATGCAACGTTGATTTGTAACGGTTCTGCGATCTTTAAGATGCTTTTAAATTTTGGACATCTCACCTGCATTTTCCCGTGAAAATCTACTATCGAGAAACCTCAAAATGCTTCGTTGGGATTATCGAACACAAGTTCTTTAGTGGTGTGTCTTTTTTTTTTCTCGGATGCTGACGTTTCTGTTTAAAATGATGCGATTAAACGTGAGAAATGTCTTTTAAAAATCAAGAAATCATCGATGAGGTCACATCAGCTTCTCTCTCACGTGACTTAAATCCGTTATGAGACACACACACATGCATCCAAATATCCTTCCAGATTCAACAAAAGACGTTTATTTTTCCGACATAGGAACAGAAGAGTAATGAAATAGAGATTCTGAAGTTTTGATAAAAAAAAAAAAAAACAAAACAAAAAAAAAAAACTATCATCATCTCGTCACGTTTTCGGTGTTTAATATTTTCTTAGGTTTCATATCGTGACTCGTCGTTTTCTCAAAAAAGCAAATAAATAAACATTGTATTTTGGGGTTTTATAATTAGGAAAATTGACTCGGAGCCGAGATAGTTAAATAAATAAAATCAACCATCAAAAGATTCAGAGA